CAATCAATTGTATAAATGACAGACAGGTGAATAGCACATTTCCATACAAAGTTAGCATCGGATACAGTAAAATAATACATTCAGCTGCAACATTCAACTGTTTCGTCCATCTAGGACTCGTCATTGATGCTTTGAAAAATCAACAACACATTTTTGGTTGAGGAAAAGAAAATTGATCGAATGATATGTCAATATTGAATTTTCAGATACACGTATAGAATAATTCCAAATAACGTGCGGTATATTGTACACATGTTTAAATTAAAACGTGGCAGGCAAGTTTTTGGAAAAACTTAGTTATCAATAGTCCACCAGCAGATATACACCTCATTATGAACAGCGCTGATTATTAGTGAATGTTTGGAAAACGTAACTTTTGTTTTTATGTGTAACATCCTGTTGGTTAAACTCGATATCCAGGTATGTTAAATGGGTTGTAATGCATATGAAGAGGTCTGGAGAGATGGAGAGACAGATCACTAGTATGTAGGTAAGTGATGCCTTAGGGGTCAGATATCGTAACAAACACGATATTCGCACATGAATATGTATAGATATATTTATGGATGTGGTCATTTAAGTGGAAATTGATAACAACGTAAGGAAAAAAAGATAAAATTAAATAAATCATATTGTATACTACGGAAAAAGGTAAGATTAGTTATTTATTTAATGAGTTTGTCGACTCGACCATATACCCTTCATATACATTCTTAAAGTGGACGGATTTGAGCTTACGTTCCCTCCAGCCAATTATTGTACAACAGGTGACCAACCTTGCGGTTAACGTACAGCGCATGTGTATTGGTGTTCAGCTCAACACCCCTTTCATAACATCTACTTGGTGCAAGGCAGAAGGATTTGGGATCAAGTGATTAAAGAAAAAGGTAGGTCTCGTTTATATAAGCTAACCATCAGTATTTGACCCATAATTTTTTATTATCTATTACTTCTGTCACGGACTTAAATACACATCGAAGTCCGTGCTTCTGTTAACATGCTCCTTATTAAGATGCTGCCGGTTCGGCAGTGTATATCATAATAGACAGCATGCTTACAGCAATCATTTCGCTATCATTGTGAGGACGAGTAGATCAGTAGATTCAGTATATGATGTGACCATACAAGTGTACCAGAGAGAGAGAGAGAGAGAGAGAGAGAGAGAGAGAGAGAGAGAGAGAGAGAGAGAGAGAGAGAGAGAGAGAGAGAGAGAGAGAGAGAGAGAGAGAGAGAGAGAGAGAGAGAGAGAGAGAGAGAGAGAGAGAGAGAGAGAGAGAGAGAGAGAGAGAGAGAGAGAGAGAGAGAGAGAGAGAGAGAGAGAGAGAGAGAGAGAGAGAGAGAGAGAGAGAGAGAGAGAGAGAGAGAGAGAGAGAGAGAGAGAGAGAGAGAGAGAGAGAGAGAGAGAGAGAGAGAGAGAGAGAGAGAGAGAGAGAGAGAGAGAGAGAGAGAGAGAGAGAGAGAGAGAGAGAGAGAGAGAGAGAGAGAGAGAGAGAGAGAGAGAGAGAGAGAGAGAGAGAGAGAGAGAGAGAGAGAGAGAGAGAGAGAGAGAGAGAGAGAGAGAGAGAGAGAGAGAGAGAGAGAGAGAGAGAGAGAGAGAGAGAGAGAGAGAGAGAGAGAGAGAGAGAGAGAGAGAGAGAGAGAGAGAGAGAGAGAGAGAGAGAGAGAGAGAGAGAGAGAGAGAGAGAGAGAGAGAGAGAGAGAGAGAGAGAGAGAGAGAGAGAGAGAGAGAGAGAGAGAGAGAGAGAGAGAGAGAGAGAGAGAGAGAGAGAGAGAGAGAGAGAGAGAGAGAGAGAGAGAGAGAGAGAGAGAGAGAGAGAGAGAGAGAGAGAGAGAGAGAGAGAGAGAGAGAGAGAGAGAGAGAGAGAGAGAGAGAGAGAGAGAGAGAGAGAGAGAGAGAGAGAGAGAGAGAGAGAGAGAGAGAGAGAGAGAGATCATTCGTTTTAAAAAGCAGTGTAATAAATTGTTCATTTAATGTTTGAGGAAACTTTTTAAACATCTTTTCATACGATAAGATTTATTAACTAAAAGTGAATTTTTAAGTTGTGATAACAAAAAAATCAGCAGATGGTTGCAAAAAAAAAACGTTGCTTGTCCGTCAGTGTCATGAATCAGATTCTAGCCTACAGATTCTAATGATGTGTTCTTGACCTGATAAAATGAAATGTCAACTCTTCTACACAATTATTCATATCGTATATATCGTTTAGAATACGACGGTGATTATTTCTTTATATATTCAAGTTTCAATTCGATATAAGATATGCTTATCAGATACCCAAATAAACAGATGTAAGTTGTTTACAAACATGACGAGAAAACCTTTGCCAGTCCATGTCTTTGTTTTTCACACTTGAATGGAGCAATGAGTGTTCCCAATGATCAAGATGGATGTGATGTTGATCATCTATTTTCCAGTTGTTAATTTTCATCATCAGGAAAATACGTTCGCAATATATTTGTATATAGACGTACAGAAATATATGTATAAAATCGCGTATGTTTTTAAAATAGGTTGGTTACCCTTCAAGAAACCCATACTGGTGAAATATAAAAATGCCTGTTTATGTCACTGTAATGATTTGAAGTACACGTATAGGTTGCATTTTACCTTTTACCTTTTACCTTTTTTTGGTGTATGATTTGGCAGACGAAATATAGTTTTTGTCTTGAGAGTTACATCATTCACTTGTAGAAACATTTTCATCGATAAAGTTTAGCTGAAATGTTATCACGAACGTGACAATGCTTTGTTTGGATTGACCAATATTTACATGGCGGGTGACGACGGTAAAGTAGAAGACGCATGTTCTTCTGGACCGACTGGTACTTGTTTTGGAGTCACTGTGTTAATCTTTCTTTTGCTCATATTTTGCCCTAGTTTTTACTGAATTTGAGTTTGGTTTATGTTTGTGTTTACATATGGATATTTTCTTGTCGTTTTCCTTGTTAATTTCACTCCATTACTCATTCTTCCCTGGTGTTCTGGCCAGTGTCAAACCAGACATTAATTATTGTATATCAAGTGTTACGGTATATAACATATCTGATAAGAAAAGGCTATGGGATCTGTCATACGATACCTCGAATGTTTTAAATTTTTTGGAAAGGAAATGTAAAGGTCAGGAAAAGGGTCTTGATTTATGATAAAGATCTGTGACTTTAAACAGCATTGTGTTTTTGTCATTCTGTTCATACTTGAATATAACACCCACTTTTATCTCTGTTGAATTTTCTTTTTGCAATTACATTGTTGTGTTTTCTTGTATTTGTCTTTCATATATTGTATCGTTGTATTTGTCACTGTATGCATAACAATTTTGTTGTAAACAACCAAGTTCTTTTGTGTTAAAGTAAGAATAGTTAAATTGCATTCTATTTTAAGCACTGGTGTTGCCTATGTATGCTTTCGTGAATCAAAACAAGCTATAATTTTATGAACAGGAAGTAGTTAAGCCGCCATCTTGATGAACAAGAAATAATCATATAAAAATCATAACGAAGGAAAACTTCGGCAGGAGAAATATTATTTTGAATTAAGACATCGTGATTTTATATTAAGCTGAGCTGATTTTAAAATTTAAATATTCATACCAAGACTTATCCTTGCTTGGCTTTCTTTCCGATTTCTAAACTAGAGATAAACGAATTTATGTATAGTGTAGCGGTACATGGAAAATCTGACAAGAAAAAGCTATTAAGCTTGTCATAGGATATCCCGAATCAGGCCCTGTTCTGGAGGATATTTAACAAAATGTCCAGTGCATAAATAAAGAAAAGATTGATATATTTTAAAGATCTGTGACTTTGAACTTTATATTTTATATAGTTCTTGCTTTTTATCACTAGTGTATTTTACCTTTGTTTTTATCACTGTGTGTAGTTGGTTCTTGAGTTTACCACTGATGTGTTTTCTCCTTGCATAAAGTACTGCTCTTTTTTGTCCTTTTTCATTGGTAGATTTTCTTGTATTTTTCAATGGTATGTTGGCGTCTCGTAAATGTTTTGATTTTTGCCCGTTCACATATTTGAGGGTTACTCGACTATATGGTATTGCAGTTTATCCGTACATGTAAATACTTTCCACTGCAATTATGAATCAAAAGTGGTTTTACTGGTTCGGAAGATAGGGAACAATAATTGTAAGTCTGATAACAACAAAGTGATGAATAATATTTCAGTCTGCATGACACACATATTGACTGACTGTAATCGTTACACGCATCCTTTTGACGTCCGTAGATGGCCTAACTTTATTATCGGGTGCGTTTTACTATTGGACATGAAGGTTATGATAGTTTATAACCCAGTCTTCGATTAAGTAACACTATGAAAATATCACTGAAAATACCAGTTTTCAATGCAAATGTCGGGGGGAAAATTATGTTTGAAAAGGCGTTTTATACACAACAGGTTATATACACTAGACTAGATTTTTCCTTTTGTAAATATAAACCTTGTCATAATCCGGTGTCTCCTTTTGAGTTTGGTGACGTATGTCACTAAGCGATACACCCAACCTAACGGTGACCCGGATTTGAACTGGGGATATCCCGTACTCTAACAAAAACGCGTTTGCTTTGCCTGAAGCATTGATTGCCCATATATTACTAGTAAACCATACACGTTCTCATTACTGTATTTAAAAATGGCATGTTAAAATTGTCAAATGCTGAAAGATGGCAAGCTTCTGGAATGTTTCGAGGTGGTGTGATATAAGGTCTTTTCGAAGATTCCATTGGTTTGATGAAAGCCATTTGCTTGAATTAATCTGTTTCTAATAACACTCTTTGTAACTACCTGAGTGTAATAAAAGTATAAAATATTTAAATTAAACAAATTAATAATTTTAACTTGTTACTAACTCCTACTCAACTGACGAAGAAAATCATTTCTATTTAAAAATGTAATAAATATATATATATCATATGATAGAAACGACTTTGCTGGTCTGTCATTGTTTGTAACTGTTGCCTGTAATAGTGTTTACTTTTCTTTTACAGATGAAGATATTTGCCTGTTCCACACTTGCTCTGTTAATGACATTGGTCACTTCTAGCCTGGAATACGAGTGTGATAAGTCAGCCACATTATGCGAGACGACACTGGTGATTAGGCACAGACTGACCATGATGCACCCGACTGAACAGCAAGTATATCCAGCCAATGGTAAACTCTACAAGTATGACGACTCGACGCAATCTATCGAGATCCCAGTGGATGAGGTTATGACTGCGGATGGTTGGGAGGACAACAGACTAGTTGTTGTGGCTAACGAAAGCCTCCCTGGTCCACCAATTATAGTTTACGAGGGGCAGAGACTTAAAGTTCACGTCATCAACAAAATGGCTTCTGATACTGTGACAATACACTGGCATGGTATCCCACAAAAGCGGAGTCCGTGGATGGACGGCGTCCCATTCGTGACACAATGCCCAATTCTTTCTGGGCAGACGTTCACTTATGATTTTATTGCAGAACCCAAAGGAACCTATTGGTATCATTCTCATGTTGGTGATCAGCGAGCCAAAGGAATGAACGGTGCGTTCATCATCAGAGAACATACATCAACGATCAGGGAACAGATCATGACGGTGCAAGACTGGAATCACAACTGGGGAGCCGACATGGATCATCAGAAGTTGTTGCTTGGAACATTCGTGAATCGTGTCCCTGAACCATTGAGGAATTCTGTAGACGGGGGTCTTTTCGACCCATTTTATGTCACTTCCGTTCTCATCAATGGCAGAAGCCGTTATTACGACCAGAATGGTCAACATAACGGGGCTCCTTTATCTGTGTTTTCTGTGGAAAAGGACATGATCTACAGATTTAGAGTTATCCATGTTGGAGCGCTATATCCCATAAGAATATCTATCGACAATCATCCATTGACCCTTGTCGCTTCTGACGGATACGATTTCCAACCGGTCGTGGCGGAATCTTTCATTATTAATCCGGGTGAAAGATATGACTTCAATATCAATACCGATCAAGTTACTGGAAACTACTGGGTACGGGCTGAAACCTTAGAGGTAAACGCACACAAATCAGAGGCTGTGTTGCGCTACAATGGCGCGGATGCGACTCGATATCCTTCTACGGTGAGAAAAACATGTACCCCAGTTGACCGGTGTTTAGTTGTCAATTGTCCTTTTACAACCTACCCTGAAGACTTTAACACGGATTGTTTACGATTTGATCATCTGAGGTCGGCAGTTAACGACGATCCTGCTCCCGAACCGACGTCAATTGATGTGTTTAAAGAACATTTTTTGAACTTTGGTCTTCCTGAGGAAGTAGCATCAGTAAACGGAAGAGAATTTAAGGTTCCAACAGTGTCTGCTCTAACACAGCCATTAGAGATAACGACGACATGTGATAACGAGGATTGTGGTGAGGAGAAAACATGTTCATGTACATATTCACTAAGTACCAACCACAACGATGTAGTACAACTTGTGCTGATGAATATGGGAACAGGAACAGGTGATGCACATCCGGTTCATCTCCATGGTCACTCTTTCTACGTACTAAAAATGGGTTATGCAACATACAATATGACTACATCAGAGTACATCTCTCAAAACACAGACATTGATTGTCGTGGAAGTGGAGATATGACAACAAGTTTCTGTAACGACGCTACTTGGAGAAATCCAAGCTGGCTTGGAAATAACGTTCCTGGATTAACTTTGATCAATCCTCCGCGTAAAGATACACTAATAATACCCAGCGGTGGATATGCTGTTATAAGAATCAAGGCCGATAACCCAGGTGTATGGATGTTTCATTGTCACATCCAAGTGCATGGAGTTTGGGGGATGAGAATGCTTCTGAACAGTTCTTACAACATGCATCCTGCGCCACCAAACGCATTTCCGGTATGTCATGACTATCCTTCCTCTTTCCGTGAACGGTATCAGGACCAACATAGGTTTACACCGACCCGCTTTGATAAAGAAGGTATGTAGAACACTTCGTTGTATTGGTACAATATACTTATCGAAGATCTTAATAGCAAACCTTCTGTAAGCACTCGTTAAGACAGCATATATATTTGCGACATAATAATTGTATGCATTGCATATCCTAAAATACTTGTATACTAGTAACTATATTCTAAAATAAACATCAAGCAACTGTATATACTATAAAGTCTATACCTTATGTTTATTCCTTTGTTTGATAAGGTACATTCCGTCCGGTCACGAGAATTCTGAATTTCTGAAAAATTTATTATTCACAACCGATGCATTAAATTAAATCATATTGAATTTTTTTTACTAACCACTTTTTAACTTTACCAAAGCGTTAAGCAACTAAGGCCTGAAACACATTTTGTTTTAATTATTGACCAAACGTAGACCAGATTTAAGATTCAACTGAAAACTAAATGATGTTATTTTTACAGTACATTCAACTGCAGATCATACAGTATGGGGTGAACATTTAACTCTCAATCTCAGTATTGTAATATCAATTTCAAATTCAATCTTCAATTAATTTTTCCTGACAATAATTTATTTCCTCTACATTTCTGTTTCCAGGCGGTGGGTACGGGATGAAGACATTCTGGGTTACGTTCTCAGTAATGGCCGTCATTATTCTACTGTTGATTGCCTATAACCTTCACGTGCGAAAACAAGCCAAACACTACAAACAAAAGTTGGAAGCTTCTACACAACCAACGAAAAACGGAAAGGAAAATCAAGTCTTTTCAAAAATATAAAATGTGTCAACAGAATTCATTGGTATATATATTCCTGGATGTAAATAAAAGTTCACAAGGATACTTAATATATACACAACGCCATGTACTTTCATTCTATGTAATGCAAATTGCGCGAGCATTATCAAAATGCAAGAAAAAGTCACTTTTACTATTTGCAATTCAATATTATGTGAAACATCCGGTATGTTTAAAGATTGGAGATTGATTTGCTTGAGATTATTTTACTCCATAGTATATTTTGGTATGAGATTTTTTTTCGGATGTGTCAGTGTTTCGTAAGAAGCAACAATACAAACGTTGCCCGCTGGAGGCACACATAAGATAAGCGAGTCCTTCCTGGAAATCTTTTACAAATTATTACCCTTTGTAGCAATTATGTGGGATGAAAAACAAATGGTATGTCAGAGCCTTACAGTATTGTCTTAAGGAGGGTTCGCGAACACGTGTTGACATAGAAAGCAATATTCTCGAAAATATGATATTCTCATCCAGATCGTGGAAACTTTATTCTTGACTTCAATATATGTAAAAATCATGAAAGTATAGACTCGCGAGGACAGCCGGGTATGTGTCATCCATGAAATAATGATAATTGAATGATACATACTAAACAATAAAAAACATAATAATAAAATATCCGGACAAAAAATGTATTGCCATCTTATTGATAACAGACCATTGACCCAATTTTGATATGTTATGTTATATTTTATTTTAAACGAAATTAACCGCACAAATTTGGTGTATAGTGAAGATACCATTTCTACCCGAACACATGTGATTGTCGTTGGTTGAATATGAATCGAGATGCCAACCCTGTTTCAGTACAATTTTTGAATGCTTTCTAAACGTGGTCTGGGAACAAAGATTTCATCCCAAAATTTGATTTTAATGCAGTGAAAAGAAATGTTTCATTTTAAAAGTAATGAACGTTTTCGACGACACAATGTTATGAAAATGTCTTCATACAACAGTAGATTATGTGGTTATCCTAATATTTTATCATAGCGACAAAGGTATGTACTATGATAGAAAATTAGAAAATAAAGAGAGAGAGAGAGAGAGAGAGAGAGAGAGAGAGAGAGAGAGAGAGAGAGAGGGGGAGGGGAGAGACAGACAGAGAGACAGAGAGAGACTGACAGACAGACAGAGAGAGAGAGGGAAACAGACAGACAGACAGAGAAAGAGAGAGAGAGTAGCCGATTCACAATAGTCAAGCTTGATGTCATTTTAACTTGACGTCATAGTTATTGTGATATCTTTATCGATACAGTAATATATTCAACTTTATACTTGTATATAAATTACAACAATTTTTTTTTCTATAGAAAACTGAACTTGTATCATTCACATGTAAATGTATCGAAGTTTATCTGCGTCTGCTTTGCATTCGTGCAAAATGAAATTTTACTACACGCTTGAAATACATATCATTCTTACAGAAAAACACTACTAATGTATGAGATATCCTTTGTAAATTGAAATTTTGTAGACAATAAATGATAATCAACACTTTCTAAAGTAATGTTATGGACTTCAGTAATGTACGGCATTCGTTACAAACTCGCTCACCCATAATGCAACTTTTATTTCATCTCTTGATATATACATCAAAATCTCTATTGAACTTGATACTTAGGGTGCTTTCGTCTCGACAGGTATGTAACTTTCACAACCAGAGCTATCAAATACAAACGTTTACATGACGTAAGTCTAAGATTTTACCGAATCACCTGTCCGCTTTATCTATTATTAGTAAAATAGAAGGTGATCATTGTATATGGCAAATTTAAACGCTTCTGTGGACAGCTAAAATTTTGCTGTTGCATGGCCTCTGAGGTTCTGCTGTCAACTTATATTTTCCTGGGTACACATAAACCATTGGACATATAATACAAATTCTTCTTTGCGCATTTCCAAAGTCTGGTAAATATTTTGTTTTCTTTGGATCAAGATATTTCAAAATACAACAAGGTTCATTATATAAAACTTGAAAGGTTACTTCGTGCAAAATATGAAACAAATGCACACAGATTAGAACAAAAATGTCACGAGAATGGTTGACAGGAAAGAAATGTTGATAATATTCCCATGTATAAGTAGTTATATAATTTTCTTTATTGCCAGTTAAAACAAGAAAATAGCCACCAGCAATAACAATGAATAATATATAAAAAAATGAATGAAACAAAATAAAAAGAACAAAAAATATTACATTAAAAAAAAACAAAAATCAAAATACAAGAAAATTTGAATTTCAGATAAACTTAATTACAAAGAACAGGTTATCAATGACCGTATCATAATTATTTTGTTATATCTTACTTACTATAAGAGAAACAGTAGGAAAATGAACGTAAAACAATCGCCTAGAAACCAGAAAGGAAAAGTGAGGGAGCCAGCAGTCAAGCAGATGACTGTATATATTGAGCTATGTCTACGCAAATCGTTTACTATCAACAATAAATTCTCAACTAACTTACAGTTTTATTTTCTTTTTATAGCAAAAGAATTGTTACCATACAAAAGTATTTTATAATATCAGTAAAGCATAGTAAATGTCTAAATTTTGTATTTCTTTGAACGTTATAAACAAAGGACAATACAGTAACATAGAAAAAGGGTTTGTCGATTTGTTGAACTGAGGAATTTATATCTTTGTGTTAATATACATGTTGGTTTGTTCTCCACAGGTGAAATGGATAAGTAGGTGAAATTTTGTAAACAAAAGCACAATTAAAGAATTGTATTCAAACGTAGTAATTAATTGTCATTATTGATTGGTAAGTGTCTATCCAATGAGTAAAAAGGTGTCTATTCATTCATTTACAACCTGACAAATATAAAAATTCCGAATAGTATTGAAACGTATATATATATGTATTGTAAAATCACTGTCTAAAAAAAATGAAAAATATGTAAAGTTAAAATGTAATATGTCATCAATAGCTTTGACATGTAAATGGATAATTAGATTTATTAAAATGATTATGAAATTATCTTACAATTTTTATGTGGTAATATGGTATTGTAGTTATAAAATACAATATTGAGAAATTATGGCTACTTTTACAGTCAACACTGTCATTTAATAGTTATGATAGGAAATTCATTCGCTGTTGAAAAATAAAAAAAAAAAAAAGGGGGGGGGGGGAAACATTTACATTTGAAATTCTTACTACAATTCAAAACCTAAACATCGCAGTTGTAGCGATTTATCAGACAGTAAAATTACTGTCGCCGGATAATGCTACTTGTTAAAGAATGCTATCCATATGCTTTTTGTAAATTTTGTAAAACAAAATATCAACTGTTGCTATGAGATGTATCTTTTTATCAATTATTTCTGTAATTTTGAATTATTGTGAATGATTCATTCGTAGAATAGAATAAATATTTACATGAACAAAATTGATAAATCACAACACGAAATTTGTGTGACTTCATATTAGTATAATTTGTAGCTATCTTTTATCTGTGTTACCTCCCTTCCTTTGTTAAGTGTAATTCTACTTCATAAACCTCGTAATGTACATTAAGATAAACATAATAACATAATATTAAGGCGCACTTTAATTCAAAATGTTACATATCATAAGAAAATAACATCTGAATTGTCCCTATTTATGTTAACGAAACATTTCTGTTTATGCACGATAAAAAGTCAACGTAGAAAAATGAAAGGAAACGATTATACAAATGATGTTAATAAATATAAAATCCATTTAATATAGGGACTACAAAATTAGTATATAAAAATATAAATGTACAAAATAAAAAAAAATAACTCGTCTCAGAAAGTTCCGTTTAATCTCCACATTTAGTCTACTTTTTTTTTTTATTCGAATAATTCTATAATGTTTTTATACCTTTGCTGAAGTTCCCTGTTACTGTTCGAGAAGAATTCATTGATTATCAGCATAAACACCCAAGGTTATATATCATTACAATGTGTATGTCTTCGTTAACATATAGGAATCTAAATTTTACGATTCCAAACATTGATATTTATCAATGTTTTGGACATCTCACGTTGGAAATCTATTTCAGGTTTTAAAAATGAACTTTTCCCTCATTACAATCTTTATGACATCAAATGGACTTTAAATGAAGATTTTTCTGGAATTAATAATCGATTCTTTAAAAAAAAAAGGTTAGTCTCTTTTTATTTGATAATGTATAAAATTTAAAAAAAAAACGTATTTCAAAAGGCTTGCAGTAGTGATATCCTAATATTGAAGTAAGGAAAATAAATTGATCCTAAGAATATATACCTTTGATTGTACCGTTATGTTCAAACAAACGAAATGAAGTATTAGTACAATTTATGACAATCAGGATTTAATTGAATATTTAATTAATAGCGCTATCTAATCGTTCAAGAGATCAAAAGTGCAACAATTCTGACTTTGATATATTTGTAGACTAAAACAGATTTCTGTATTACGTCTTGATGACCTGGAATTTTGTGATATTGACCTCAAACGAAATTATATTAATTTTTCACCAATTACGGAACAGGTAACATCTACTAATATTAGTTGCTTCTGTTAGCCCTGATGTAAGGCATGGAGAACGATATTAATATGGATGGAATGAGATCGGTCAGAGAAAGTCCATGAAGTGAAGAAGATGACCTATCGAGGACTGTAACTTGTCTTGGTGAAAAACGAGCGTGGTCCTCCCTCCACTACCCGTTTTTTTTGCTTAGGGAAACGAAACTTAGACATCAGTGACATAACAAACGTTACGAATTCATCTTCAAAAATACTTCTGAGAGACGTTGAAACTGTCTCCTTTGTGTCGAGAAAGATTTGATTTTTAAAAAGGACAGAAAGAGCAAGCGAGAGAGATTTGATTTCAAAAAAATCAAAAAAACATTTATACAAGAGATAATTCTGAATTTGACATCGGTATACTGATGTAACTTCTGACTCTCCATACCCTGTCTGTTACATCGGGATACTAATGTAACTTCTGACTCTCCATACCCTGTCTTCTGACTCTCCATACCCTGTCTGTTACATCGGGATACTGATGTAACTTCTGACTCTCCATACCTTGTCTGTTACATCGGTATACTGATGTAACTTCTGACTCTCCATACCCTGTCTGTTACATCGGGATACTGATGTAACTTCTGACTCTCCACACTCTGTCTGTTACATCGGTATACCGATGTAACTTCTGACTCTCCACACCTCGTCTGTTACATCGGGATACTGATGTCTGATGGAATGTATTTAGATCTTCGCCAACGATATTCAATCATTTTGAGGTCATACAAGGTCAAGGTCATAAAAACCCTCACACTTCACAGTACTTTAAGAGATTTATACTTGTGTGACGGATTTAACTTTTTCTTCACCTTGTATAACGCGTGGGAAATCTTTTTACTACATTGCTGTTGATCCTTCCGTCATTTCCATACCAGGTCTCGGTCCATTGATCTGTCCCTGACTTCGTCTTCTTAGATATACAATGTAAGCCATCGCCAGTAAAATCGCCACCAGCATAACCGGGAACATGACCCAAAACGCCACCTTGTACTGGTCTGCAAATAGGAATAAAAAAAAAAGAGAATTAATTAATGAATAAAACACATTTACATTTTTGAAAATAAGGCAATATAATATCTTCAAATGTCATTAAATAAAAGATAAATACCGAAACCATTTGTCGTATCGAACATTAATTTCTCCCATTGGTACCAACGAGTAATATATCTTACAATAATGCTTTAGAAATAAAATAGTTGTGACTTAATTCTACCAACCGTTTTCCACAGTCCCTCCAACATCTACTAAAGGAAGTGTTGTAGCATTCATAACAGTTGCATTTCCTGTTTGGTAAGCCGAAGGGAAACTCCTGCATTGTGGAAAACCTGAAGGCGGGTGATTCTGAGACGACAAGGCGAAGGAATCGTTGAAAACTAACCCCATTCCATCCTGGAAGTGGTTAGCTATGTGACAATGCATCAACCACACACCCCAGTTACCGGCCTTTATTCTTATCACTGCATATGATCCGCTTGGAATCAACAAGGTATCCTTGCGTGGTGCATATTTCAGTTCCATTCCAGGCACATTACCACCTAACCAACTAGGATCGCTCCACGTTGCGTTGTTACAGAAGCTTTGGTCTGGACCCCCCACACCTTGACAGTTAATATCGGTGTTTTGTGAGATGAAATCACCCGTTGTTTCGTTATACGTTGCGTATCCCACCTTGACAACGTAGAATGAATACCCATGAAGATGTATGGGATGTGCTTCACCTTTTCCCTTCCCCATATTTAGTAAAACAAGTTGCACGATTTCAGATTGATTGATTGAAATTGAATGCATACATTTACAGAGTCTATCTTCGCCACACCCAGCATCGTCACACGTGACGTCAATTTCTTGGGGTTGTGTCAGAGCGGACACTGTTGGAAGCTTGAATTGTATGCCATTTACCGAAGCTGGGGTGCTGTTTCTTCCAGGGAATCCGAAGTTAAGGAAGAATTCTTTAAACACAGAATCAGTTTCATTGGAAGAAGGAGCAGGGTCGTTTCCTGACCTGCGCATCTCAGCAAAGTATTTGCAGGCGATATAATCCTGCTCTGGAAAATACAAAAAGGGGCAGTTCATGACTATGCAGCTAGAAACCGATGTGCAGATTTTCCTTGAGGTCACGGGGTCAGTCAATGGCGCATTGTTATATCTCAAAATAGCTTCAGCTTTATGAGCATTGTCTAGCGTAACAGCGCGTATCCAGTAATTGTCAATGGACTGATTTGCTGTTACGATGAAATCAAACCGTTCCCCTGGACTGAAAATGAACGATTCCGCATCGACAGGGTCGAAATATTTTCCATCCGAGGCTATCAGTGTAATGGTGTGGTTGTCAATAGATACCCGAAACGTATAACCAGCGCCAACATTTATCACTCTGAACCGGTACTGTTTCCCTTGTTCAACAGAAAATGTTTCAAGCGGAGCCTCATTTACGGAATTATTGGTGTAGTATCTTCCTCTACCGTTTATAAGAACTGAAGTCAGTTTGAAGTTGGCTACGAAGTCCTGATTAGCACCCCAGTCATGGTTCCAATCCTGCACAGTCATGATGTGTTCTTCCATTGCATCGACAGCTCGAAACGGCTGATTTCGTTGTCGTATTATGAGAGGTCCGTTAAGGCCCGTAATTCGCTGCATACCAACATGTGAATGAAACCAGTAAGACCCAACTGGATTAGCAATGAAGTCATATGTAAACGATTGTCCTTGTAAAATCGGACATTGTGTGATAAATCCGACTCCGTCCATCCAGGGAGTATTCTCCTGTAGAAGTCCGTGCCAGTGAATTGTAACTGTATCGGAAAAAAGATTGTTGGTGACTTTAATTATCAACCTCTGACCCTCGTACACAATAATTTGAGTATTGGATAGACTCGAATTGGCGACAATCACAAGTTGTTTTTCTTTCCATCCGTCGGTTGTAATGACATCGTTTATAGAAACTTCGTCGATACCATTCGTACCATTATAACTTTCGTACAGTTTCCCGCCAAGTGCACAAACTGGTTTTCCTGACGTAAGAGAGGTCATAGTTAGCTGATGATCAATGACAAGACTGGTTTTACAAACTTCTGCTTTTATGTCACATTCGAAACATGTGATTTCACAAACATGAATGGAATATACAAGCACAAAAAGTTTATAGATACTGAGATATTCCATATTGAACACTCTTCAAAAGAAAAAGTTTTTTCGTCACATATGATCCGAGGTTAGAAATAAAAGCGAATGGATAACCTTAGGGGTTATGTTGTCAACATTTTTTTCCCACAAAGTTAGAAAAATTGAGCCGAAATAATTAAATTAAAGTTTCCAGGTACGTATTTGAAAAATAAAATTAGAATTTTCACAACACCCGAATTTGCTGGAAGCAGTATAGCCTTAGCAATACAGAGGCCGATTCTACCCGTATAACATGATGACCGCCTCTTTTATACCTAGGTCAGGTTTTTCCTGGTAATTATTTGTTTTTCTAGGTGCCAACATGTCCTTGTTTTCGGTTTGCTGCAACATTCAGTCAACTTGGTCATGCGCAAACTCCATTCTTTGAAAGAGTCATTGTATAGATATCCGGGTGAAGATATTTCGTGGCTGGATCCGGGACCTTTTCCAAAATTAGGCAAAACACGTCATAGTTCAATAGGTTTATACACAGGTATATATTTAGACATTCCAATAAAATTAGAAACATTTCTTCAATGTTGGTTGAATTTTTAAAAATTTTACTCTTATCACTTTTGTTTCGTGTTTGTTAGAACATCCGCCCAGTTAAAGCTGAATATTAACTATTTCTATGCTACCTTTCAAGATCACGTTTTAAGACATTCATGCGTAAATTGAAAGAGAATGTGTTAAAGTTAAAGCTTCCGGCTATTTTATATATAATCTTATGTCATTCATTTATCAAATTTGTAATAAAAGGTCGAAAGATACAAAAAGTATGGCGATTTCTTCATAACTATAACAAAGAATTGTTTTCTACATTCTATTGTATAGATGTACATTAATCAATACTGTATTGGTGATGTCACATTTTTGCTTACTTACATTTATTTTACATTGCTTTGTTTTACATGTATGAATTATGTCATTCTATGAATTATACGATATAAACCATGACTTGGCTTATAATGAAGAGCACTCCTTCCACATTCCACATTCCACATTCAATAAACAAGTCATGATTTAACGATAATAAGAGGTGTGATGAACGTAATTTAGATGTGGTTCACTAAGCAACATTTGCTCAAAGTTTGGTTAGAGCCACCACTGCTTCGCGGAAAAATTAAATGATCACCGGAAAAAACAAGGACTTTCAATGCAACATTAATAGTCTATTTATATCAATTTGACCCGTCTCAAGTCTACAACTGGAAATTTAAAACAATGTTCCCAATTTTGTTTTTATTTAGATTTAAAAGATTTCAAACAAACACTCTAACCAGGATTGGGTATCACAATGCATGTAATCATTATTTTTTTTACATAAGCAAATTCAAACTGGCGTCTCATCTGCGCATGACAGTACCCCTGGAAAGAATGCACCGCACAACAGGTTGGCGGCCATGTATTGAGGCATTTGAATGTAACTAACCGACATCGAAGTTTCAACATTACCACAAGTCCTTACAGAAAAAAGAATCGTGTATGTCAAAGATATATATATATATATATATATATATATATACACGCCTTTTCACATCCCTAGTGTTAGCTTACTGGAACATGTTAGAAATGTGCATACTTGGATCCGGATTCAGTTGCATAAAAAATTAAAATCTACTCAAATTTATTCTGGTTAAAATATTTAAATTAAAACGTTTCAGAGAGACTTACTTTCGAGTGTTGACAGAAATAGACAAACTCATTTTGTGAAACCTCCTATTTGGTAGACATTTCCCCGACTTTGTACATATCATCTCTGGTTTGAAAAGATTCTATATACAATTATATTGATATTATTGATATTTCAGATGAAAATGGTTGCTGTTGATATTGATATTTGAGATGACAATGGTGGCTATTTATGTTGATATTTGGGATGACAATGGTGGCTGTTTATATTGATATTTGAGATGACAATGGTGGCTATTTATGTTGATATTTGGGATGACAATGGTGGCTGTTTATATTGATATTTGGGATGACAATGGTGGCTGTTGATATTGATATCTGAGATGACAATGGTGGCTGTTTATATTGATATTTGGGATGAAAATGGTGGCTGTTTATATTGATATCTGAGATGAAAATGGTAGCTGCTTATATTGATATTTGGGATGACAATGGTTGTTGTTTATATTGATATTTTGGATGACAATGGTGGCTGTTTATATTGATATTTGGGATGACAATGGTGGCTGTTTATATTGATATTTTGGATGACAATGGTGGCTGTTTATATTGATATTTGAGATGACAATGGTGACTGTTTATATTGATATTTGGGATGACAAAGGTAACTGTTGATATTGATATCTGAGATAACAATGGTGGCTGTTTATATTGATATTTGGGATGACAATGGTGGCTGTTGATATTGATATTGGGATGACAATGGTGTCTGTTAATATTGATATTTGGGATGACAATGGTGGCTGTTTATATTGATATCTGAGATAACAATGGTGTCTGTTATTATTGATATTTGAGATGACAATGGTGGCTGTTTATATTGATATTCGAGATGACAATAGTGGCTGTTGATATTGATATTTGAAATGACGATGGCGGCTGTTTATATTGATATTTGGGATGTCAATGGTGTCTGTTTATATTGATATTTAGGATGACAATGGTTGCTGTTTATATTGATATTTGGGATGACAATGGTGGTTGTTTATATTGATATTTAGGATGACAATGGTGGCTGTTTATATTAATATTCGAGATGACAATGGTGGCTGTATATATTGATATTTGAGATGACAATGGTGGCTGTTTATATTGATATTTGGGATGACAAAGGTAACTGTTGATATTGATATTTGGGATGACAATGGTGGCTGTTTATGTTCATATTTAGGATGACAATGGTGGCTGTTTACACTGATATTTGGGATGACAATGGTGGCTGTTTATATTGATATCTGAGATAAAAATGGAGGTTGTTATATTGATATCTGAGATAACAATGGTGTCTGTTAATATTGATATTTGAGATGACAATAATGACTGTTTATATTGATATTTGAGATGACAATAATGACTGTTTATATTGAATTTAATGAATTTGTTACAATCTTATCACAAATTATGATATTTAGATTCAAATTTTGAAATTAATCACATTGTGTTCATCAAAAATTTTAGTATTGAAGAACAGATATACCTATCAAAATAGAGATTGTACTTTATGATCACAAGGACATAGAGACCTACAGTAGTTTGATGATCTCTGGAGTAATCACAACTATTTCTGCCAAGTAGGCAGACAAAATTCTTGATTCTATAATGAACGTAATACAAACTTATTTTATAATTGTATTTGATGATTTATTATCGGGAGACATCAAATATATTCTTACATAGTGTATCACCATATAATAATTCTTAATCAAACAGCCTCTATCATGTTTCAATAAATTAAATTATCCTGTCAACTTTACTTACTATGAATCCATTATCTAATCATATTCATAGTGTTAGTTCACAAACATATTATCAACATCATTTTTATATATGTATATAAAATCTTGAACTATCATAATATTTTCTTCTGTAATATCTATTTCATAGCTCCATCAGTACAACATCTAAGGTTGGTAAATCATTGACTGAGAAAAATCGAGATTCACCAACTTTGCTGTATATATACAAAATCTCACATAACAGTAACAGTGTTTTCTTCTATAGAATTAATATACAGACCAGTGATTACTTTATCTCTCTAGGAGTTCTCTATACGATTACCAAACTTCATGGTATCAGTTTTCCCACTAAATGTAGTAGCATTCAATTTATGGATTCATAATTACAATATCAACTGCCGCTACTTCTAATATTCTGAATTGGGTGATATTAGAATTACTACATCAGGCAAGTAACAGCATTTACTGGTCAAAACACTGGTCACACAAAGCATTAATATTCAAAAATAGATTATTACAAAAGATAAGTAACTGGGTAAAAGAGACTGGGTACTAGCTCATGACCATATATAGATAAGTACATGACTCTATAAGCATGATAAGCTCATGACCATATATAGATAAGTACATGACCATATATAGATAAGTACATGACCATATATAGATAAGTACATGACCATATATAGATCAGTACATTCACATTCAAGACATATACACTTACTAGGAATGATCAATTTGAGGTGAAAAGCACGAAATATTTATTGACTTATCATATACTATAGTGTACAATAGATTTAAGATTTCATTCTATTGATAACGGCAAGTATCAATACAGAAAATGAAGGCATGTTCAAGAAGGTAAAAATAAATTCAGCTACATTCTATCAAACCAATTACAATAAATGATGTTCACTATTGCAGTGGCAATTATTAGACAATAAATGTCACTTTCCACACTACCGTTACCGACTTGTTTCTCAAATGTAATTTGACTGATGGTAACAGTGTGAAAAATCCTGTTAAGATTTACAACTCTTAATAATGTACCATTTCTTACATGTACTTGTACTATAGCTTAGCTATTGTAGGTAGTATGACATGAGCCTGCTATGCAGTGTCATTCATATTGCCTATGAACGCCAACAGTCATACTGAGAGTGTCTACTGGTATATACACTTGAACAATTAACCAGGATATAGTATATTTAAACAGAAGTATAAATATTGTATGCTAACCAACTTTTCCAATAAGTGCTACTTACTATGCTTTCTTACCATATCCAAGTTCATATTTGACACTTTACACATAACATATGCAATATTTTTCTCGTTGAATGATTTTGGTTTCTTCAGATGTAGAAATATTTGTTTACTGTCTGACACTAACATAATGGTGCAATTTACTTCTGAACTATTTTAAAACCCATTCCAAAATTTACAATTTTTTGAAGTCAGTTTACTTTCCAATATCACTGATCTCTGGGAACATCTTTGAAAAGTGATTAGAGAACTGCGCAAAGATACTAGTTTCACTTTCCTTAATCAAAACAAACTTGATGGCATTAACTAAATGTGATAGCAATTTTCTAACAAATATCTCAGAATTGGATGTTATAATTCGAGTTAATGTTTACAGAATGAACATATTTTTCCCAATACAATAATGATTGATTGTAATTGAGTTTCTACTTTTTAAGGTAAGGAAATCGGAGAAAGAATTTTTCTTTTAAGTGAGGATGTAGTATGTTAGACGACAAAGAAGTTGTGATGAGTTGAATCATTTTTAAGTGAGGTATGTTAGACGACAAAGAAGTTGTGATGAGTTGAATCATTTTTAAGTGAGGTATGTTAGACGACAAAGAAGTTGTGATGAGTTGAATCATTTTTAAGTGAGGTATGTTAGACGACAAAGAAGTTGTGATGAGTTGGATCATTTTTAAGTGAGGTATGTTAGACGACAAAGAAGTTGTGATGAGTTGAATCATTTTTAAATGAGGTTGTAGTATGTTAGACGACAAAGAAGTTGTGATGAGTTGGATCATTTTTAAATGAGGTTGTAGTATGTTAGACGACAAAGAAGTTGTGAAGAGTTGGATCATTTTTAAGTGAGGTTGTGGTATGTTAGACGACAAAGAAGTTGTGAAGAGTTGGATCAATGAAGTTTTTATGGTATTAGTATTCCATCACCTTTAACCCCAGATATCCACTGTCCTGTAATATATCAGCTTTACTTCAATTAGTGACAATCTGTCCAAACGGTTCAAACAATAAACCATATTAATTTTGCTGACATAACATCCATAATGCGATGCACTATATTGCGTTCACTACAATTTTACAACTGGATATTCAAAGAGAAATAACACCAAAATGACACGTATATATATAAAATCAATGTACTCGGGAATACTATGATGGTAACAATAGGCCACGACTTGTGATACAAGGATCTTACCAACTGAGGTAATTCTTAGAGATCTAAACGGTTGGATAGAATGGGATAGGGAGGGGGTTCAGGGTTGATCTATAGGAACACTTACAGCATCTCCATGTAACATATTATAGTTAGTCCAGGGGGCTATAGATCACCTGTGACTCAACGCTAAGGGCGAGCTTAATTATTACAAGACAATGAAAAATGCTGTTTCAATACTAGTAAAGCAGTTTTGGTAATTCCTCTGAAAAGTAATAGATATACGTGGGCTTATTACCAGAAGTGGGCTTATTACCAGCCATGGACTTATTACCAGACATGAGCTTATTACCAGACAAGTACTTATTACCAAACATGCACTTATTACCAGACATGGGTTTATTACCAGACATGAGTTTATTACCAGACAAATACTTATTACCAGACATGCACTTATTACCAGACATGGGTTTATTACCAGACATGGTCTTATTGCCAGACATATACTTATTACCAGACATGGGCTTATTACCAGATATGGGCTTATTACCAGATAAATACTTATTACCAGACATGGGCTTATTACCAGATATGGACTTATTACCAGACATGCACTTTTTACCAGACATGGGTTTATTACCAGACATGGTCTTATTGCCAGACATGGACTTATTACCAGACAAGTACTTATTACCAGACATAGACTTATTACCAGACATGGGTTTATTACCAGACATGGTCTTATTGCCAGACATGGACTTATTACCAGACAAGTACTTATTACCATACATGTACTTATTACCAGACATGCACTTATTACCAGACATGGGTTTATTACCAGACATGGTCTTATTGCCAGACATGGACTTATTACCAGACAAGTACTTATTACCAGACATGTACTTATTACCAGACATGGGCTTATTACCAGATATGGGCTTATTGCTATTCCTTTAACTGGTACTTAAGTACATTATTCTTTCTGTATATCACTAAATGTTAAATGCCGTTGAACGTGACCTTTTTCTAAAGGTGATGTCTCGTTCCTTCATCAATTTTTATTCACATTGCACTATTTTGAAAACAATCGTACCAAGGTAAATTCTAGAAGATTCTTAAAGCCACTGGTAAATTCCAAAAATGTTGTGCTTTTGTCTCGAAAGTGCTCATTATTTTCAAGTTCAACTAGTACTATTATATCAAATTTTATTAACAAAATGTAAAAATTAATACCTGCATAAGAATATGTCATTAAAATATCTACACGGATGTAGATGTCCTTGTTTTAAATATCATGCAGTTAAAGTAACCTCTAAAATATTCTTTAAAGAAAAAAAATGCATACCATTAAATATTTCTGGAAAAATCAGTTGAAAAAGAAGGCACAATGGTTTTGGGAGTCGTGATTTAAAGGGTTCTGTTTGAAATCAAAGCAAATCTTACGATTATGAAAACCCCTAATCATGAACTTGCATCATGCTTTCTCATGTATATTTTTTGTACAAACAAAAATCTCAGGCAGGTACATGCCTACTAGTATAAGACACTTTTTAAGATATGTCTATCGATAAAAATATTACTTGTGTTGAAAATGTGAAAATGAACATCTCTTGATGGGCCTGTCAGGAAATATGCCATAACCAAGTGTAATAAAGGGTTAGTAAGACAAAGATGTGACAAGTTTGTGGGAAAATGTCCTGTAAATCTGCCATCCATTGACAATGAGGTAACAAAGTCCTTAAGTCAATCACATTAAGCTCTCTTCAGTTGTCCCTGCTACGGTTTTACACCTTCCTGTGTGTTAAGATCCCGACATCTCCGATCCAAACTTGTGTCTATGTGCTGCTCGCTTAGCTTCAGCTACAATCTGTACCAAAAAAGAGTAATTATTAATTCCACATTACATATAACTTTTTTTTAAAATTACAATAAAAAAAAAACTGTAAAGATAAATGTTTTTGTCAATAAAGTTCATTAATTAAGTGAATTCTTACACAGTAAAAAGAGGAACTGATTATCAAAACAAAAAACACATTGTTTGAATTGTATTTATTTGAATTTCTATTTTCATCTTGCTTTCAGATCAATTTCTTTTTGAATATTTTTGAAAGTATTGCTTTAAATCTTAACTCCTCCCGACAGCTGAAGTCATTAAGCCACATCTTTCAAGGTTTCTATTAATTAATTAAATGAAAAAAAAAAAAAAAAAAATAGCTACTTAATCAAAGTTAATAAAATTAATTGAAGTTCTCAAAACAACAAAACTGATATCCCATTAAAGATTAGTTCTAGGAAAATCAAAGTCGATATCCAGCTAACTCATATTCTGAGCCTTAAAGTAGAACCCTTGCCTCAAAATGGAACCCTGCATACAAATCACAATGAAATGTACACGGTGATGATTCAATAACTTTTTACAGATCTGCATGCTTTTATCAAAACATTAAACTGTATATTCCATGAATTCCCTCACACATGTTCTGAAATTTATCTTAATTTTTTTTTGTTTACATGTACACAATACTATAAGGTCTATTGCATTAACCCTGCATGGTCTTAGGCCTCAAATATCAAAGATTTCTTTATCCACCAACATTTAAAACATTTACATTATTTTACGATTATTCATTAATTCAAAGGTGGAATATGAGTTGGAAGCTGTATCTGTGAGACAACATCAAAAGTTCTATGCTCTGAATTGAATGACTAATGACCTAGGTACTTTAAGTCTATATGTATCACGTGGGAACATATGTATCACATACATGTCCATATAGATGTCCTCAGGGAGATACAAGCACGGGGAATTCCGATGAAACCTAATTGTCCAGAATACACCTAGGAGACATATCTTTTAGTAGGAAAAATTATGATATCCAGACAGTGATTCAGTAAATGGCGTTAAAAAAATGAATTACAACCGACATTTCACATGCCTCTTGTAAGGCTGATAGAATTATAGGTAAGTTACGGTCTCTGTCAGAATAGGGTCCATGTTAATTTGAGTCACACAGACGATTGTTTTCGTGATTTGGTTAACAAATTGATGGATGTGACACTGGTACATAGGGACAAACATTTATCTAATTACAGCAGTTCTGAGAATGTAAATGAGTCTCTGTAACCCAAAATGAATTTGGAGACCATCTCCGCATACCGATGATGGCAAACATTAGCGCCTCCATTAGTCCAGTACTAGATATATTCATTAGCTTTGTTTCTTCCAGCAGGATAAATATGATGTAAGTCAAAGACAAAAGTGACTAAATGGCGTACTGACTTGAAGTTATATATCTGAGATGAAAGTAAGATATTCATCTCAAGAGATTTACAGATACAGAGGTCAAAGATTGTATAAAAGACATACACATGGGTAGCACAAAAGTTTAAGCAGATATCTTTAGTGTCCATTTTTGTCAAAATGACTTCCAACTAATCTAAAAAAATTTGATTAATAATTTTGAAGCTTTTCCCTTAAATAATGATTTCCTTGATAGATGTCAACTGGTTTTGAGGGTTTCTATGAGTCCTAAAGGTCGATTAAATCTAAGGGATATTTCTATAGTCTTATTCATAAATATTCAATTTCATTGTGTGATACTAAGGTTAGATTTGTTTGATGTTTGTGCAGTGGTTTCATTGTTACTACCTTGATTCTCACTTAGAGGATATGACATTTTTATATCTGGAATGATCAAGATTTGCATGATAGGTGTACTTGCTGAGGCTGGTGAGATGCTTACTCTTCCTTGTGCTATTTCAAGTGTCTACATTAAAATTGTTCCTTTATATGTATTTTCGTCTTGTTTTATATCAACTTTTTGTTGAAAATTACGATTTTCCTTTGACGTCCATAATCTCGTTTACATTCATTCATGTTGCATTGTTATAACAGTCAGCCACAGTTGTAGTAGGCATTTGCAGTGCATAGTTAACACTTAGCTTGAACAACTTAACTTTACTGACACTCAGTGTTATACAGAGAATAAATCTATACTCCAGAATTGATGGAAACAGTATACACTAAGTTTAAACAAGAAAGGGGAGCTTAATTAACACAAAGTGCAACAAAATGAAGACGTGAAACTGAAATTTGAACTTGTTGTTCATGACTGTTAGACTAAACAGTATTACGTTTAAAGAGATTTTTGCAAAACTACACAAAAGTATCAAAATAGGGACTGATTGGCGAATGGACAAAGCAAACCATTGCTCTCTTGGGTATAGAGAGTGAGACAAATTATTTAGTCAGAAACATATCCGTTACGTGAAATCAATGCAAAGAGTAAACATAACAGATCTGTATATTGCACAATTCGTTTCTAAAGTAGACGTTGCGGGGTTTTGGCATAAACATGATTAATTCTCACTGCATTCATAATACACAGAGTAAGCACATTCTACATCGCTGTCCAAGCCTCCAGGGTTAAATAAAAGTGATCTGGAAATGATCAGTGGTACATAGAGAGATCATTTTTCTGTCGGTTAAGGTAGAATTGATCAGTACTTAAACATTTAAACATTGTCAGACCTCATTGAAGTCCTCGTGTTGCTTACATTCTCTATAGATTCTTGACAATCTTCCATGAATAACAAATTCGCTTAACAAATTGAGGGTTAAAAAGATTCAGCACTGACAAATGTAGAAGAAAAAACCTTAGGACTGGAGTTCAGGTATCAAGTGCCAATTTTTTTCCACACATTGATTGTAATGTTTGATCTATAACATCTCTACTTAATTACACAGAATAACACAGAAAAACACAGAATTACACAGAATTTTATTATTTTGCATCAGGATAAGAAAACTCGTATTTTAATCCAGTTATTTAGTGAAATCTTCAGCAATTTACAAAAAAAAAACAAAAAAAATAGATACATAAAAAACAAAAAAATTAAGACATTGATCTATTAAAAAAAAAAAAAAAAAATTCCATCAACACAAATTATGTATTTGGTTCTGATATGTCCCCTCATTTATTTACAGGTCATGCACACAAGATGTATAATGGTTCTGATATGTCCCCTCATTTATTTACAGGTCATGAACACAAGATGTATAATGGTTCTGATATGTCCCCTCATTTATTGACAGGTCATGAACACAAAATATATAATATTTGGTTCTGATATGTCCCCTCATTTATTAAAAGGCCATGAACACAAGATGTATAATGGTTCTGATATGTCCCCTCATTTATTGACAGGTCATGAACACAAGATATATAATATTTGGTTCTGATATGTCCCCTCATTTATTGACAGGCCATGAACACAAGATGTATAATGGTTCTGATATGTCCCCTCATTTATTGACAGGTCATGAACACAAGATGTATAATGGTTCTGATAAGTCCCCCCATCTATTCACAGGTCATGAACACAAGATATATAACATTTGGTTCTGATATGTCCCCCCCCCATCTACTGACAGGCCATGAACACAAGATGTATAATGGTTCTGATATGTTCCCCCATCTACTGACAGGCCATGAACACAAGATGTATAATGGTTCTGATATGTCCCCCCATCTATTGACAGGCTATGAACACAAGATATATAATATTTGGTTCTTATATATTTAACAAAAAATACCAAACAGGAGATTCTCCTGGAATTAAAACATAATGAAATTTAACTGTAAAGATGTCAAAACATTAGGGAATCTACATTTTTCAACTTCAGGTTAAACATAGTACTAAACACTTCTAGAAAGTATGATTCTTTAGGTAACATAATAATAATTTTATAACTGAGTTTAACAAATTTCAAATGACATGATACAAAAAGCAGAAATTTGCTGCAATGAAAATATAGTCAAATATGACTGATAAGTCAGGAAAAAAAGTTTATTGTTTAACAATTTAATAAGACTGATACAGTTCTCATATCAAAGAAGACAAGCGGTGCCGTTTTCTCGGCAGTACATGATAACATTACAAGTAGGTAATCTGTATACATGAGATGATTCTGAAATATCTCAGAGAAACGACCTCAGAATGATGTCGCCGGAGAACCTTACAATGTGCTATAAAAATAATCTATACATAAATGACAATATTTGAACGCATATTTCATTCTTCCTCGTCCTATCTAAACATTAAAGCCGTCTAGATCTCATCAAGCAAAACTAATTACAAATTATAGACATTATCTTCCGTATCTGGTTTTTTTCACTAAACAGACTGCTACATTAATTGAATTATTCGAACATCATTCAATTTTAGATGCATTTATATATTACATACAAATTACCTATCAAATATCTACATTTCACCCGATGCGGTACAAACCATTCAAGCTTATCTTACATTTCATATGATATACAGCATCGTAATTCTGAAACAGTGTAGACAGAGCAAATATAACCTTTTCCATGCTCTCTGAAATTCAATTGTGGATAATGAAAATCTGCATTGTATTCTCTGCCTTAGGAAACAGACAGAGTTCTCTCCTGGCAACATGTAGAGAAATATGGAAAAGATTGCAATATTTCAGACATCTATACTTGACGATTCATTAATCTTGTTTTCATTTTATTTTTTACTTTCATCCTCCTTTGCTATATCATTCACCTTTCTTATCTACAACAGTAGAATTAACATTCTCAAACGTAACAAGAGAACCCTTGGTGCCGTCCATTGTTTGGTATTTATTCTGTCTTAAAAAGTAGAATATTTTTCCTTCTTTTCTTTGTTTGTGCTTGTTATTAAATGAAATCTAAAATTCCTCTGAAGAAATACTGATACATGTATTAATCTTTAACAGTCAAATCCAAGATGGTCACCAGTCGGCCATTTTGTTTTTCTGATCAGTTCAAAAACCAAAAAGGCACAACAACTGTAGACCAAGGCAAACTTGTAGAT